AGTAGCGTCCTTGCTCCTAGTAGCGATGCCAGGAGCCCCTAGTAGCGTCCTTGCTCCGATGCCAGGAGCCCCTAGTAGCGTCCTTGCTCCTAGTAGCGATGCCACAAGCAGCATCCTTGCTCCGAGTAGCAATGCCAGGAGCCCCTAGTAGCGATGCCAGGAGCAGCGTCCTTGCTCCTAGTAGCGATGCCATGAGCAGCTAGTAACAGCGTCCTTGCTCCTAGTAGCGATGCCAGGAGTCCCTTGCTTGCTCCCAGTAGCGATGCCAGGAGCCCCTAGTAGCGTCCTTGCTCCTAGTAGCGATGCCAGGAGCCCCTAGTAGGGTCCTTGCTCCTAGTAGCAAACACTCTCAAACTCATCACTTGGATCAATTTGCTGTGGCCTTTTTGTGCCAAAAGGAAGTGGAACCTATGGCGAAGAAGATCCGTGGTTTGGGTGAAGAGATTGTCCATTTGGATACGAAACTTGTCCGGGTAAATGTTTGCTTCATAATATGCAGGCATTAAGAAAGATCACAAACCTTTTGCGAAGGGATAATGACATGTTTGGGCCCATCTCGATTCCATTGAGAGTTTTAACCATGCTCTTCAATATTGAAGAACATGTGTTTCTGCATGTTTCTGCAAACCTAGTTCAGGCGTGCATGTTTGATTGTGTTTTTAGGTGCCAAGAAACCACTTTTGACTTTGTCCAGCAGGGTTCGATAAGAATCAGCAGCAGATACCGTCACGCATTAGTTATTAGGTTGGAGGCCATCGCTTTTAGCATCATTTGCGAACTAAAGCCCTCCCATGTGAGCCCTCAGACCCGCATTGCGCTTACATGAAGCAAGGTCATGCTCCACCAAACCTGATTGCCAAGTTTTATCGCTGAGGTATGTCAGATTGAACTACATGGGTTTTCAGATGCTCACGGAGAAGTTTGATGCTTGCTTGGGAACTTCTGGCAGCCCGCTCTTCGTGTCAGGTCTCCACTGCGAACCTTTTTGCATCTTAGCTGCTCAATTGACACCAGACACTTGTTCACATGTCCAGGCTAGTTGTGCAGAGTCCCATCTAATGGCGGCAGATGGTGGCAGCACGTTAAAGTAAGAATTGTTAGTGTAAATGATTCTCATGTTTGGCTATAGCTGCAAGCACCGGCCAGTGCACTTCTTGCCGGCTAGCAAGGCAATATTCGTTTCGATGATATCCTGATTTTGCTTGGTTTGGCATGGGCGCGCTGGCGTTCAGCCCAAGCACCGGCGGAACAGTCAAAGGACTCCCGTAAAGAGAGGGGTTTGTTTATGTTTTTGTTCGATGCATCATTGTGACGCTAGTGCAACGGAAGGTTTTGCGCCGGCTGTAGCAAAGCCGTGGCGGACAGACATTTGTTGCATAACTTGTCTTACGCAAAGTTGTTTTTCAATTCATGAGCACTGCACTATATATTCCGCACGTTCCGGACTGGAACGTGGACACTGCTTGATTTGATCAAGCTTTATTGCGCACCCAAAGCATATTCAGATTTGATTTATTCAGTATATCATGCCAGCGGCTATGTCAATGTATTTACAAGAATGCTTCCCACCTCAAAGAATGAACCAAAAACCGGGAAAGTGATCGTAGCTGTTCCATCAACTCGGTTGCGCTGTGGCATGGGCCTGAATGGCTTTGTGCTCAAACTGAGAGGATGCGACGTGGAAACCGCCGGAGAGCTTCATCAGGTGTCTAAATTGAAACGAATATCGTGTGACGCTTGCTCCATGCTAGAAATCTTGCAAGTGTTCTGCTTGCCAACACCAAGACATGATGGAAACAGTTGCAATGTGCGGCAATGCTGCAAAGGTCCAGTCTAAATATGGTACGGTCAACAGAATCCAAGGTGGGTGGGTCTGGCACACTGCTGCAACAGCTCAACATGTCCAACTGAGTCAATTGTTACTTTTGTGTTCAAATGACCTCCAAGGAACACTTCGAAATACTGGGTTCAGCCCGACAAAGTGGTGCTTCTGAAAACACGGATTGTGGAGCATTTACCGCACCCTGGATTCTGTGCAATACTCCGGCATCCTGTCTTGTGTTTGTCGCTTCGTGCTTGCAATGAGAGACTCGGGTCTCAGGTATTTGATTTTTGGAGCCTCACAGTCGGAAGCTTGTTTGACAGCTTAACATGAAGAGTGGCAGAGCAGAGTGGATTGAATTTTTCCACTTCATGATAGTTTGCTCTGAGAGTGATGAAGGTCTAGCCGCACAAGGGCTTTTGCCATGTGAGCTATTGTATGCATACCACCTAACCACCACAACGCCAATGCAGACTTGAATGTGTGAAGGAGAAGTCTTATGCAGTGGCAGACAATCTTTGCCATCCCAGGAGCAAGAAAAGCTTTTAGAACCGTTTGCTCTTCTGGATCTTGAGTATAGTGGGGGCATGGACAGCCAAGCCGGAGACTTAGCTGGGATTTTCAAGGAAACTTGGTCGCGAAAGGTAGCTTCAGCTACCTGAATCTGGAGTGGGAAGCCAGGATCGTGCAATAAATCACAGGCTCCAGTCCGCCCTCGCTTATTTGATACAGTAGCCACCTTTCGCTCATCCCGTCTTGTCTCAAGTAAGAGATGGCAGCCTTTCAAACACAGTATGTCTCATTAGTTCACCCTTGCTCATGATAGAAGGCCATGCGGCTATCGGCTGCAAGCATACTGACCACAGATGCTACCCGCACTGTCATCACTGCATCTAGAATTACCAAAAGCAAGTTGGAACATGTGACAGCCGCCGCATTCTACTTGCTAGGCCATGAATGCATACGCGGGCACCATGGAAGAATCTCAATTGTTGAGCTCGGTCTACTTCGACAGTGGGTACCTCAGTCCTTGGTGCCCAGCTGTGGGGCGGTTTTTGGTCATGCATAATAGTTTTTGGTCAAGTTACCCCCTCAAGTTGTTGGTTTTTCCTTGAGCTTGTCACTCTGTTTGTAGCAAGAGCCTGGAAAAGACAAAGTTGCGAGACAGAAATGGTTGTGCATGCTGCAAAGAACCATTTGAAAAAGCATGATCATGTGAATCATGTGCCTAAGGCCCGGACGCTATTAGCTACCAGGAGCGGATCAGGCGAGAAGAAGGGGCACGATTGGTGAGGCCGCTTGGATTGCATCCTGGGCCGAACTATTTGGACTTCAGGATGCTATACCTGGCGCCCGGGAAAACAGTGCATGCGATTCCGCAAGGCAACCCTTGTAATGGTGACTCTTGATTTATAAACTTCCCCCCCCTCAACAACCAAGGCCTCCAATATAATGTAATGTATAAGAAAATTAATCAATTGATAATTAAATAAGGAATCCTTAGCTAGCTACCTCTGGAGCTACTCTGGCAATATTAAAATAAAAGGAATCAAGAAACCTAACTTTGAAGACATCTGGAATATTAATTACGATAAAAGGTAATGAATCAATGCAAATAGAACTAACTTTTTAAATTTCAAAACTTTTGGCAAACTTTTGGAAAGCTTCAAAACTAAAGAGCTTAGGAAAAGTTAATA